AGGGGTTGAGGGGTTGAGGGAGTTTAGGGGTTGAGGGAGTTTAGGGGTTTAGGGAGTTTAGGGTTTTAGGGAGTTTAGGGGTTTAGGGAGTTTAGGGGTTTAGGGAGTTTAGGGGTTTAGGGAGTCTCTAGGGCCTTGAAGGTTTTAGGAAGTCCGCACAGCGGGTTCGGAATCTCTATTGGATCAAACTATAGAGCCCGTATTATCCTTTTGTTGGCGGGGTTATGGCCCCCTTTGGAGGTCTCAAAAGCTGTTTTTGTATCGCTTTTGGGCCCGTAAGGGTGTTGTGAAGGATTTTGTAGGATGGCATTACCCTAGACCCTACACCCTAAACCCTAAACCCCTAAACCCTAAACCTAGTATTGTGCCTTGGGTGTTGATTGGGCGCTCCATGGTCGAGGGTTTGCAAGTGTAGGGCATCGCAGAGTTTTCGCTTGAGAATGCATATAGGATTTATTGTCTATGTCTTGTTGAACTGGGTGTTCAGGGCTAAGCCCCTGTCTTTAAAGGGCCCGAATATTATCAATAGGGAGGCTTTAGCACTCAGGGTTTCCAAAGCCTACTCAGTGGCTTTAATGATTAGAACAGGGCTTCGGGGTAGATAACTAGATATGTTCCCTTCGAAAGATGGGCCTAAAACCTCCAAAGAAAGGAATGAGGGTACAAGCACCGCAACGTTTTGGACATATACTTTAGTAACTCAAACCGGTTGGACGTTAGGTGCTGGAAGTGCGTTCTGTTGCGATTAACGCGACGACGGCGATGATCATGATGTCCACGATGACCATGGTGGTGTTGAAAGTGATGATGATGATGATGAAGATGAAGATGATGTTGATGATGAAGATGAAGATGAAGATGAAGATGATGTTGATGATGAAGATGAAGATGAAGATGAAGATGAAGATGAAGATGAAGATGAAGATGAAGATGAAGATGAAGATGAAGATGACGATGACGATGAGGATGAGGATGAGGATGAGGATGAGGATGAAGATGAGGATGAGGATGAGGATGAGGATGATGATGAAGATGATGGCGATGCCACAGGGCCACGAACCATCCTTGTGACACTGATGAGGCGTCTTCGGATCCGACTAGGTTGTGAAGTGTTGGTGCCCATAGCAGCTGCAGCTGTGAGTGTGTGTGTGTGTATATATATATATATGTGTGTGTGACCTTCTCAAGCTTCAGGGTTACCCTGCTTACTCTGTCTTGCCTGCAATGCCATTTTGCCAGGCTATCGGGCACGCTCAACCGCAAGCGAACGCCAAACCGGACTCTCCAACTCACGATCCTAAACCGAAACCTTATTCCTCAAGCCCATGCTTGTCGAACAAGGTATAGCGTTGAAGCTACCGTTTACGGCTTAGGAGTCCATAAACCCCTAAACTCTAACCCCTAAACCCTAAACCCTAAACCCTAAACCCTAAACCCTAAACCCTAAACCCTCACCCCATAAATCCGAAGAGACTATCGGCCCGCTGTTCCATCCATTCTCGCGGCCCCAGTTGGGAGGAGCTGTGTCCGCGGGGCTATGTGGGAGTTTCAGAAAATTAGGGTACCTTATTTTGGGGTCCTTATAATAGGGATCCTATTAATTAGGGTACTATATTAGGGGTCCCCTATTTTCGGAAACCCCCATGTTTGAAAGATGAAGAGCGCGTCGCGTCAGAGACCCTTGTGAGGCTGCACAGGAACTCGGAGCTTTTACGGCCTAGGGTTTTAGGGCTCAGGGTTTAGAGTTTAGGGTTTAGGGTCTTGGGGCTTCAGAAAGTCTAAGGCCTAGTTTGAGGGCTAAGGATTTGAAGCTTATTGAGGATCGCGGATACAACTTCACGGCAGAGTGTACTTCCGACCTCCTCCGGCAACGCCAACACCACCAAAAGAGCGCTAATGCAGGGGCCTTAATAATTAGAAATAGGCTTTGGGGGGCCAGTATACTACACTTACAATAGGGAACCCCCAAAGTAATGTACGTAGGCAATTATTTAGGCCCCTACATTACCACCCATCGTAAGCATGACAGTCATCGGTTAGGGTTTGAGGTTTAATGCTACAAGCATTACCTTCCTCTTTATCACTGGAGTACGACGCACAAAGGAACACGAATCGCAACAGCTTCGATTGACTGCGGTACTACGCATGGCTGCCTTCAGGAGTAAACGCGATTCTAGTCTGGCAACCTTCTGTGAGAGCTTCCAGTCTCATACTTTCATGAAGTCCTTCTCACTGAGCTACTCGTCAATCCCCATTCCTTCAACATCTCTGGCAATGAAGCACACATCCTGAACCCTAAACCCTTAAC